TCACCTCCGCCTCACACACTCACTGGCCCCTTGCGCGATGGCACGCCGGCATGTTGGCATGGGAACGCCAAGCCCGGCACGGTAGCGGCGGCTGACTGAGTAATGGCACAGCCGACCGCCGCGGCAGGCCACTTTGCACTCCTGCCTGCAATGCATGCACCCTTACATGTGCAGCCTTCTGGTATTTTCATGTGCCTGGGAGATGTGCGGGCATGGGGGCCCATGTGCCCCATGCCATTTGAGTGCCCGGCGGCGGCGCTGCCTGCCGCCGGGAGCCCGCACCAGCATCGGCACCCGTCGGCCTGGCAGGCCTAAGCTGCTAAGGATCCCCACGTCCCCCACCACGTTGTGGGGGTTGCGTGTCCGGCAGGACGGGGAGCGGGGCCAGGGTGGGGTGACCCTGGGACGCTCAGCTGGGGGGAGGGTGGTCGGAGCCATGGAGAGGGTGCTCCATGGTCCACCCCCTCTCTTGATGCCCCTTGATCACGTGTGCCCCCTGCCCAAGGTCTGCTCACGCGGCCTATCATAGCGGGGTGACTGTAACACAGGGACCGGCTGAGATGCAGCGCCGCGTGGAGAGCCTGCGTGGCCTGGTGAGAGCATGCCCCTGCCATGCCTCCAGCTCGCATGCTGCTGCCTGCGCGCATGCGTGGGAGTCCATGCGCCCGGGCCTTCATGAGCACAAACATGCCGTGGCTGCGGTGCTGGCTGGGTGTAGGGAGAGCTCGCTGATGCAGAGAAGCATGAGATAGTGAAGGCACTTGCTTGTGTGGGCTTAAAGTCTGGTAAAGCAAGAACTAGCTTGCAACATAGACTCCCCGCCGAAACGGGACGGGAACCGGGCGAAAGCAGAGAAAGCAATAAAACAGGGGTGGAGCAAGGCGACATGCAACGCAAGCAGCTGACAGGGCACGCATCGAAACGTGTGTATGACTGGCAAAGTGGCATGGCGCATTGGGGAGAAACGCAACGGTACGGGAGCATGGGCTGGCCAAACGGCAGTGCGGAACGCTAGGTCACTAGAAAAGCAGGGAAAGGCGCACTATGTATGCAATGAGGGCAGCCCCGGCTCGGGGCCGTTGAGAAAGCAGTGGGCGGGAGGGGGGAGGCCCCGGTGTGGGCGGGCCCCATCGAGGGGGGATGGGGCGCGCAAGCGGCCAGATGGGGCGGGGCGCGGGCGGCAGTGGAGTCCTGCGGCTGGGTGGGATATAGGGCAATGAGCGTTGAGCAGTGTGCGATGAGCAATGAGCAATGAGCAGTGAGCAGCCCCTCCCTAAACAAAGTGAAGCGCAGGACGGGGTCCGGTGGATGGGAGGCAAGGAAACGCGGGGGGTTGCCACGTGCGCTACCGCCGCCGCCGCAGGCAGCACCCCTGCGGCGGCGGCAGCGGCAGCAAGCCGTGGACCCAAACGCCGTGCCGCCGCCGCCGCAGGCAGCACCCCTGCGACGGCGGCGGCAGCAAGCCGTGGACCGAAACTCCGTGCCGCCGAGTCCCGTGGCTGTGGCCGTGGGCTTCTGGCAGGAAACTACGGCCGCAGCTCGGCAGCACGGGGGCGTCGCAGCGTGCCGCCGCCGCCGCGCTGCCCCCCGGGCACGGCGGCGGCGGCAGCAAGCTTGGGCCCAAACGCCGTGCCGCCGAGTCCCGTGGCTGCGACCGTAGACCGTGGGCCGGAAACTGCGGCCGCAGCTCGGCGGCACGTGGTTCTGGTCAAATCGCCAAGCGTGCAGCAGCGCCGAACCACGCTTCCCGGCCTCGGCGCATGCCTTCAGGGGCCCCCTATCGCTGGGCACACCCCTCCAACACCGAACATGCGCCCGGGGGGGAGGGCGGCCCGGGCGGCCCAGGCCAAAGTGGGCCGCCCTCGAGCAAGAGGCGGCCGGGCTGTGTGCTGAATGAATGAATGACTAAGGCAGACCCGGGGCTGGCTCACCCAGGGCTTCCAGGCAAGCACATGCTGCACTGGCCTGGCACAGACTCCCTGGTACCCTCTGCTTAGCACTGCCGCGCTGTGGTGTGCAGGCACTGGTCACTTCAACCGCTGTGCGTGCGGCTACGTGTATGCCATTGGGGACTGTGGCGGCGCAATGCAAACAGTGCGGTGCCCATCCTGTGGCAACACCATTGGCGGAAGCAACCACAGGCTGGCTGAGGGCAGCACGCCTGCTATCGACTTCTTTCAGCTGGCGCGCCTTGGCTGATGTGCCATTGCCAGCCTGCTGAGCATGCTTCTGGGCTCGACTGCCATTCCGGCACCTTGCACATACGCTGGCCTTCGTTAGTGCTGCCGGTGCCCTACCCCGCATCGGCTTGCGTTGCTGTCTTGATTGCACTGTAAAGGGTGCATCACAACTGCGCCCTGCTACAGGCCCTGCCTGACTTGCAAACCGCCGAGCAGCATTAGTATTACAGGCAAGTACCGATTTGTGGTTTGACGGAAGGTTCAGAGCAGGGCAGTTTCTTTGGATGAAATATAGTAGATGAACAGAGGTCCGGCATGCAAGCCAGCGTGAGGTTCAATCAAGGCAGGTTGATCTTCTGAGCCAGCCCACAGATGGACACACGCGCAAAGGAAAGTGTGTGCACAGTGTCAGTGGCGTTTTGGATTAGATGGTGTTCAGGGGAGGGATGATATGCGCAGCCGGCAAATCCAGTGCCGCGCCAATTGGTCTGTGGCATAAAATCCAGGAGGCATCAAATGCAAAAGAGAGGTGGAGGGGGCATATGTGGTGAAAACCCATATGCGGCGTGTGTACAGGGTGAAGAGGTGAAGGGACGGCAATCGGGAAAAAGCGGGGGATCGGGGCTGGCGGCCGCCGGCTCCCAGACTCAAGACGTTGAAAAGGGGTCCCTGCCGCCAAAGCGGCGGCAGAGACAACCGTGCTCGGCGCACATGATGGAAGGAATCGTTTGACAAGAGAGAAAAATGCGAGAGGTCGAGGCAGACTAATTGCGCCGCTGCCCACATCTGACTGGTGTCCCGTGCGGGGGCTGGGCCGGGCCTACTGCCAGGGCTGCAGCTGCAGCTCCAGCGCATTCTGCAGCTCCTTGACCTCCTGCAGACAACAACACACAGCACAGGGAGCGAGCTTGGTTCAGCTGGATGCGTGCGAGGAACCTGCAACTCCCAACCCTGTCAAAACGGCTGTTTCAAACAGTGCACCAGCCCCACCAGCGGCGCCACAGCAGCGCCTCTCCCCTGCATCGCCCAGGCGTGTCCCCTCACCTCGAGCGCAGCGCTCCAGGCCTTCTCCAGCAGCGCACTGCGGCTGCGCGCCGTGGCAGCCGCGGTCTGGGCCGTTGCAGCATCCTGCATGGAGCAGCATGCAGGGTGGGCGGGTGAGTGGGCCGGCGTGCAAAAACGCCCTGTGCTGGCTGGTCCCATGACCAGCAGAGGACAGCAGCAGCATAGAGCCGCAGCAGCACACAGCGACAGCAGCGCAGAGCAACTGGCGGGAAGATGCATGGCGGCTCAGCAGGCACAAGGGTGGGGTGCCTACGTTCTGCGCCTGCTCCAGAATCTCAGAGGCGCACTCCAGCTGGGTGGCCAGGGCAAAGGCCTCGCGCTGGGACTCAGCCAGGGCATACTCAAGGTTGCGCTTCTCCACCTGCAGGCACTTGGTGTCCTGCAGGCGGCAAGGGAGGAGGGAGACAGAAGAGGAGAGGGCCATCGTGTCAGCGGCAGGCGCGCGGCGGGCGACCCTGGGCAGCTAGCTGATTGCAGCGGTATACAGCAGAACGGGAGCGGCATGCCGCAGAACCAGGCCGACTGGCTGGCGGCATTGCACATGCGGCAGCCAGGCAGGCAGGCCCTCACCTCCAGCGCCGTCGACCACGCCTTCTCCAGCAGCGCGTTGCGCCCCTTGGCGGTGTGGCAGGCCGCCTGCGCGGCCGCCGCCACCGCCCGCTCCTCCTCCAGCTGCGCGGCCAGCGTCTTGGCGTGCGCCAGCTCCTGCTCCGCCACCTGCAGCCGCGCGGCCAGGCCGCGGGCCGACGCCGCCTCCTGGCGCAGCGCCTCAAACTCCTTGCCCATGGAGGCGGCCGCCGCGGCCGCCGCCCTGGCCTCCTTGATCTCGTCCGCCAGCGCCCTGGCCGCCGCCGCCTCCCGCTGCGCCTCCTTAAGCTGGTCGGCCACGGCGCCGGCCTCCTCCGCCGCGCTCTGCACCTCGCCCAGCTGGTAGGAAAGGGCCTGGGCCGAGGCGCGCCGCTCCTCCTCCAGCTCGGTGGCCAGCGCGGAGGCGTGGCCCGCCAGCCGCGCCTGCTCCTGCGACGCCGACCGCCGCACCGACTCCAGCTCGCCCTCCAGCTGCACAAAGCGCTGCTGCAGGCGCTCGTGGTCGCCAGCCACCACTGCCAGCTGGGCCTCCAGGTGCGCGGCCTGCACAGCGCAACACGGCAGGGCGGGACGCAGGAGACGGGCGGTGTGACGAGGGTGTGCATCATCTAACGGAAGGCCGTGGTGCCGGGGGCGGGCGCCAGTAGGCACAGCACCAGGCAGCAGCAACGAGGGCGGCCAGCGGCCCTCAGCCCGAAGCGCACCTCGGCGTCGTTCTCCCGCTGCTGCTCGTCCTGCTGCGCCTGCTCCGCCTTCTCCTCCTCCTCCGTCGCCAGCGCCTGCCCCACATCCGCCTCCGCCTGCTCCAGCCGGTCCGCCAGCATCCGGGCCATGGACACAGTCTGCACATCCTCCAGCTGGGCAGCCAGGTGCTGCACCTGCTCGTTGGCCGCCGACGCCCGCTTCTCCGCCGCCATGCGCAGCTTCTGCGGCGGCAGCAGCGGCAGCAAAGAGGGCCAGCGCAGCTTTAGACATTGGTTGAAGGGCAAGGACCCCTCCCCGGTGTGATCAGGCGCAGGCGCCGAGCTCGGCGCAGCGCTGGCTGATGGCTGGCGGCTCGCTGAGCGCGCCATGCCGCGCACCTGCTCCTCCCTCAGCTCCAGCCGAACCGCCTCGCCCTCCAGCGCCAGGTGGCGGTGCTGCGCCATCAGCAGCTTGGACTCCTGCACGCCCGGGCAGGCAGCAGGCGACACAGCACAGCACAGTGAAGAGTAAGCAGGCAGGCACTGGCAACAGGCGCATCACGGCGACCCTCCATGCGCCGCGCGGTGAGCGGGACAGGCGACACCCGGCGGCAGGGGAGGAGGCGTGTGGAGCCGGGGGACCGCAGGCAAGGCGGCAGGGCCGCGCTGCAGGCGCTGCGCACCTCTGCCGCCGACTCCCGCTGCCGCTCCAGCTCCTCGTTGCGCTTTCGCTCCGCAGCCAGCATGGCCATGGCCTCATTCATCTCAACATGCGCCTGCTCCAGCTGGGTCGCCAGCGTGGAGTCGTGGCCCGCCAGCTGCTGCTGCTGCTGCTGCGCCGCCTCGAGCTGCAAGCGGGGGGCAGGCGCAAGCGAGGGGAGTGCGGGGCAAGGTCAAGGATGGGCGGCCGGCTGGTGCGGCGGATCCCCTGGCAGGGGCCGTCAAGCGGAGCTGCGCGACAGAGTGCTGCTGATGAACAAAGCGGCAAAGATATGCCCGGAGGCAGTGTTTCATGTAAAGTTTTGTGCAGGGCAGCACGCCTCACCTCTGCCTCCAGCTGGCTGAAGCGCTGCTGCAGGCCCTCACGCTCCTTGGCCGCCGCCGCCAGCTGCGTCTCCAGCCCCAGCGCCTGCGCACACAGCAGTGGTGGTGTGCCCGCCCCACTTCAGGCATGCAGCCAGCATGCAAAGGCCAGATGACAGCAGGCACAGCACCCATGGGCAGCTGCACAACAAGCGGACGCAGGGGCAGGCCACGTATCCCTACCATCCACCAGCTCTTAGTCCCCCGCCCCACCTGCTCCTCGGCCGCCGCGGCCTGGTGGCGCAGCTGCGTGCACTCCGCGGTGGCCTTGGACAGGTCAGCCTGCAGCTTGTTGGCCGCCTCCTGCCGCTTCTTGAGCGACTCAGCCACCTTGCGCTGCAGCCCAGACACCTCCGCCGCCAGCTTGCGCGCATCCGCCGCCGCCATCTCGGCGTTCACTATCTGCAGGGACGCGCCCGGCCCGCGCCGCCAGCCAGCCGTTCAGCTTCTGTCAGGCATCAAATAGGCAAAGCCCCAGGCAGGCATGCTGCCGCCGCCAGAGGGGCCTCCCAGCACCGGTGCAGAACCAGTCCACAGCAGCCCCAGGAACAGGCGAGCGAGTCGAGGGGCGCACTCCCTTGTCCCCAGCGGGTGCACCCACCTCCGACTTGAGCACCTCCCGCTCCTGCCGCTCATACTGCAGCTCCTGCAGGGCCTGGTGCAGCTGCTGCTTGTAGGCTTCCAGCTCCTCCTGCTGCGCGCTGCTGGCGTGGTCCTGCATGGAGGCCGCCTGGTCTACCGCCGCCGCCAGCTGCTGCCGCATCTCCTCGGCCGTCGCCTCGGCAGCCTCCTTGGCCTGCTGCAGCTGGGAGGCGGCCGCCGCCACCTTGGCCAGCTGCTGCCGCACGGTCTTGGCCTCGCGCACCTTGCCCACCATTTCCTCATGCAGCTGCTGCCGCTCCGACTGCAGCGCCGTCACCTCGCCGCGCAGCTGCTCCAGCCGCTCCTGCTGCTGCAGCAGCAGCTGCTGGGCCTGCCTGAACAGCGCCTGCTTCTGCTTTCTGCTCTGGGCGGCCGCCAAGCCCGCGCCCGTGGCCAGCGCGTGTGCGGCGGCGTCCCCCATGGGCGGCGCGTGCTCCACCGCATCCTCGGTAGCCACCATGGGCGCCGTTGCCACCGCGGTCGCTGATGTTTTGACCTGCATGGCGGCAGCGCAGACCAAAGTGCTGGTCAGCAGGCCGGAGCTGGTGAAGGATGGACACGTGGGGCGCAGATATGGGGCGCCCACAATGGCAGGCGGCCGGTCGGGTGTGGCGAGGTCAACTGAACACCCAGCACCCACCTGGGGCCTGCCGGCGCCCTCCGTGCTCCCCAGCACACGCACAGCGATGGGGCGGCGGGAGTGAGGGGGCATGCGGCTTGCGGCCTGCGGCGCTCGAGGCCCTGACAGGCTGCCTGCCGCCCGCTGCAGCTGCATTGTTGTGCACAGCGCCAGAAATAGGATGAGTCGATCGGGGGCGGCTCCGGCCACCGCGCAAGACTGGATGTGAGAGGGTTCCCAGCAGGTAGTAGTCGCGCCCTCCAGGGAAGAAAACAGCCGGAAGAGAGGGAGAAGGTCGCCCCCATGACTTTGTCTTGCAGCTGGCACAGGCTAGATGCTGGGACTACAGGCGGAGCGGCCAGCCGGATTCGTTTCATGTCCCATGACATGCCTTGCAACTCGGTCGAGAGCTGCTGGTCCCAACCATTTCTCAAGAGAAGCAGGAGAGCTGACAGCACGAATTACACGAAAGGCTGACCGGGGGGTGGCTGGTCTGCACGGTCAACCCAGTGGGGCGGCGCCGGCGGAGGCAAGGCGCTAGCGGGAAAAAACGGGGGGCACGTGGCTAGGCGTTCATGAAGATTGATTGATGATACACAAACACACAGGGAGTACACAGATGAGGAACGGCAGGTATTAAAGTTCAGCAGAGCGACGGATATTAAAGTTCATCATTGTATAGGATCGGATCGGTGGATCATCAAATTTGACAACAAGACCGGAAACGAGGTAGTGCAACATGTCGTGCAACAAACCCAAAACTTGTTGCCTTGACAGTTTGGGCGCTAAGGGTGGGGAGGGCACACTGCCCAGGCGCGGCCTCGGCAGCAAGCTAGCAAAACAGGTTCCGAAGCGTGCGTGTGGTGCGTCACAGCAGGGCATTCGGAGCTCAGCGGTCGGGTATAATACACAGTGTGTGATGGCCAAACTCGAGCGCAAAGGTGCTGAATGTGGATTCGGAGGAAGGCGGGCGGGTGCATTACTGCGTCATTGCGTTGGCTCGGGCAGGCGGCTCGCACCAGGGCGTGCGAGCTCTTCGGCTGTTGCGTGCGTTGTGTGGATTGCAGGTTTCCTGCAACGTGCCAACGATTCCTGCACGCGTCAAGGGCCAAAAGTAGAGTAATTGCTTGGAAACAGCTCATCCAGCGAGGCGCGACAGGGACAGCGGATGCCACGCTGCAGTGCGCATGACCCTGCCCCAGCGCGGGCACGCGCAGCAGCGTGGCGCAGCTCACATGTGCCCTTCCACATCGGCATGCCGGGCCAGGCCTGCTGCAGCAGCGAGCCACGGCCTTCCTCGTGCGCGGACACAGCATCTTCGGCCAGCTTGGTGGCCAGCGCCTTGGCTGCCGCCACCTGCCGTCGACACCGGGGAGGGCAGCAGGCGGCCAGCTCAGCAGAGCGAATCAAGGAGTTGAATGCGCCAACGAATGTGGCTGACGACCCGCGCCTGAACCTGAACCCACCTCCATGCGAGCCTCCTCCAGCTGGTCTGCCAGGGATTGTGCGTTCGAGGCCTGCTGGCGCGCGGCCTCCAGCTTGGCAGCCAGCGCCAGCGCTTCGCGCTGCGACTGAGCCAGCGCGGCCTTGAGCTCGCGCCGCTCGGCGTGCAGAGCCTTGGAGTCCTGCGAAAGCAAGAGCAGGAACGGTGAGGTTGGAGGGATGTAGTGGGCGGTCAGGACTTGATTGGGGGGAAGGTGGCAGCACTGGCGGCAGCTGCAAGCGGGCGGTGATGAGGCGGCAGAGGTGCAGCACCAGCCAGCTCACATCCAAAGCAGCAGCCCAGGCCTTGTCCAGGAGCATGCTGCGGCTCTTCGCGGCCTGCGCCGCCGCCTGGGCCTCCGCAGCTTCCTGGCGAGCCTGCTCCAGCTGCATGGCTAGGGCGGCAGCCTCGCCCGCCAACGCCGGCGGCGCCTGTGGCACAGCAGCTTGCTGCGAGAATGCCGACTGCAGCAGGAGGGGCCAGGCCACACGTCCACGGGCATCAGCAGCCACGCGGGTTGACTGAGGGTGCACCAGAGAACAGCAGATGGATGGCGCTGCAATGATCCAAATGGCAAGAGGCAGGCAGCTGCCATGCCCTACCTGGCCGGCTGGCAGCGTCCTCAGCTGCGCATCTGGCCCCATCGCCTTGCTGTACAACACATTCACCGCCTGCAGCCAGGGCACACCATGGCATGCAGCTGTTGTGAGACCTGCAGCCTCCACATGCAGCCCTTTATCCCCCCCCCCCCCCCCCCCCTCTCATGGCGATGCTCATCAGTGGCAAGAGGCGACACAGGCGGGCAGCGGGCACAGGCCCCGCACCTCAGTTGCCTCCTTCAGCTCTGCCAGCACCTGCTGCTCGCGCAGGGTGGCCTCATGCACCTGCTGGGCAGCCACCTGCATGCCGCCAGCGACATGGCGTCAGAGCAAGAGCAGCAAGGCAGGGCAGCTGCGTACATGCAAGCGGGTGGGGAAGAAAGCCAGCACGCTGCCCCCACCTGCAGGTCGTGCTCCATGCGGCGCAGCAGCTCATCGGAGGCCGCATGGTCGTCGCTCATGGACAGCCGGGCCAGCTCCACCTCCTCCTTGGCGCGGTCCAGCGCCAGCTGCAGGATGTGCGACTCCTGCAGCTCGGAGAGGAAAGATGGGTGGTAGGTGGGCGAAGCTGGGAGTTGCTCGCCAGAGGCTCGCTCCAGTCCACAGGCCCATGCACGCGCACGCAGGCGCCGCGCATGGGCTCTTTGCGCGGCGGCATGCCGCCGAGGGCAGCCCAGAGCCTCACCTGCTCTAGCGCGGCGTTGCGCTGCACCTCTGCCGATGCCTGCGCCTTGGCGGCGGCGGCCTGCTGCAACGCCTCGTCCACCCTGGCGGACCACACGCTCGACATCTTCAGCTGCTCTGCCGCCGCGGCAGAGCGCACCGACTCAACCTGCAATGCAGCAGAGGGGCCACGCGGTCAGCAGGGTGCTCAGAACCGCCCAATCCGTTTGTACAGCACGTAGCAACGGGCAGCTGGCGAGGAAATGCGCGGCCAGAAGCCCGCGGGGGGCGCACCTCCGCCTCCAGTTGGGTGCACCGCTCCTGCAGGCGCCCCCGCTCGCCGGCCGCCATCACGAGCTGGGTCTCAAAGTTGGCAGCCTGTACAGGGGGTGAGGAGAAAGAGAGTGTGACACGTGAGGACGACGAGATGGGGAGGTGGGAGGAAGGGGGAGACAGAGAGGGCTACATGGCGGAGCCTGACACCTGTGGATAAAGCACGCCAGGATCCTGCGCCCCCTCGCAAGGAGCGCGCCAGCGGCGGTCTGAGCTGTCAGCCTGACGCCATCACCCATCAGATCCGCCAGCCCACCTTCTGCTCGGCCGCCGCCAGCTGGCCGCGCAGCTGCGTGCACTCAGAGGTGGCCTGATCCAGCTTGGATTGCAGGGAGGCCGCCGTCGCCACCTGCTTCTTCACCACCCCCGCCAGCTTGCGCTGCAGCGCCTGCACCTCCGCCGCCAGCTTCTTGGCAGCCGCCGACGAGTGCTCGGCGTTCAGGATCTGCACAGCAGCGGCAATGGCGCGATTAGGCATGCTGAGTGCGGTGAAGCAAGGCAGGCCTACCCCTGCTGTGCCCCGCTGTGAGGTGCATGCCCCCGCCCTCACCTCTAGCTTCAGCTGCTCCCGGTGCATGCGCTCGTTCTGAAGGTCTAGCAGCGCCTGCATGCCAGACACAGCGTGAGGTTGGGTCGAGGCGGGAGCCAAAGGCAAAGCGCGGCAGCGCCAGGCTCGGCCGTGCATGTGTTCGGTGCAGCCGCAAGGCCAAAGCCAGGCCGCCAGGGGTGCTCCTGGGCGTGGAAGGCCAGCATCAGTGGCGGCAGGGGCGGCGGCGGCGAACGGCGGCAGGGCAGGGAAGCGGTACCTCCTGCAGCCCCAGGCGGTACGCCTCTGTCTGGTCCGTCTCCTCCTGCGCCATTGCCGCCGCCTCCTGAGCAAACGCCGCCTGCTCCACCGCCACCGCCACCTGCGCCTGCGCCGCCTCCAGCTGCTGCCTCATCTGTTCGGCCGCCGCCTCGGCGGCGCGCTTGGCCTGCGCCAGCTGCGCGGCGGCTTCCTCCCGCGCCGCCAGCTGCGCGCGCAGCAGGTGCGCCTCCTCCGTCATCTCCGTCATCTGCTGCGCCAGCTGCTGCTCCCGCCCCTGCAGCGCCGCCACCTCCGCGCGCAGCTGATTGAGGCGGGGCTGGGGCCGCAGGCCGCCCGGCATGCCGATTGCCTTTGTGATGTTTGCCAGAAACCCGCTAGAGCCGCCCTCCTCCAGGTGCTCCATGTCGACCAGCGGCTCGGCAATCTCAGCTGCAGCAGGCATGCCCGGCGTGGGCACAGCCACGTGGCCTGCCACCGCCGTGATGGGGATGCCGGGGGTGAGGTGTGACACCACCACCATCGGCCCGCCAGCTGCTGGCAGCGAGTCAAGGTGCGTCGCCATGCTGCTCACAGTGGCTCCCGTGCCATTCTCGCCCGACTGCACGGCGGCCATGGCAGAGGGGCGCGGCAGTGGGAGCGGGGTTTGGGTGCCGCAGGCCTGCCACAGCTCGCCCTAGTGGTGGCGGTGGGAGCGGCGGGAAGCACATGGCGGCGGCATGTGCAGAGTAGTACCCGCACCTGGCTGCTGTCGACGCTGGCAGCCTTGATTACCACAGAAGGACGCGCTGAGGCACTCGCGCCCCTGAATCGCTGGTGGTAGAGCGGCCGGCCCACATGCCGAGGCACACAACCAGTCGTGGGCCTGACCTGCATGGTGATCTGGCCCAGAAATCCTGTCTAGAGACTCAGACACCGGCTGAAGCGGAAACCGCGCCAGATTTGTTCTCTACCACATGAATCCTGCCACCTGGAGCTGCCCTCAGACCAAGTAGCGAACGATTTGGCTGCTCTTCTCGGTGCCAGGAATCGGAAAACAACATGGCGGTCCCTTGGATGGTGTCGGCGCGCGGTCGCACGACAACCCTAGGGCTGGCGGTGGAGGCGGCGGGGTTCATGGTGTCTGTCACCAGGAGCGCGCACGTTATTCTGGCATAGGCATCTGGGCACACTACAATGCATTCATATCAGCGCCGCACAGCTTGGAACTCGATTGCTGGCCGGCTTGAGCAGCTGAATTGGTGCCCCGCCCGCAAAATGCCGGCCGACCGCACTGCCAAGTTTATGGAGGCCAGGGGATAGCAATGCGTGGGGCTTCCGTCACGCTCACCCAGCTCCAGCAATGTTCACTTGGACCGTGTCCTATATGGGTTTCAGGTCAGCAGGCGTCCAAGTTGCCCACCGCCATGTCCCACCGTACAGTACCCGGCCCGACCCGCGGTAAGTTGGTGATGTTGATGAAGGCGTCGTGACCACGCCGCTCTCTTCACATCGGTGCAACCGCCTCTTCTCGAGCTCCCGACATACCCACCTCACAGTTCGGAAGCTTTGGTATCGGGGTCGCCCCCCCACAACCGGGTTGGGCCGCTGGAAGCGGCCAAAGTCCGACAGATTTGGAATGGCGCCTTGACCACGGACGCTGCAGGTGCTGTCCGCTTTGGGGGGGCGCCGCCGCCGGGACACCCGTCGGGAGCGGCAGCAGCAGCGCCACCGGCAGCGGCAGTGGCGGGGGAGCAGACGGCACTGGACCAGCAGCCGCTACACGATGAGAAGGCCATGCGCCGCGCGTTCGCCTGCGAGCAGGCTGCCAGCTGGGCGGCGGGCGACAGGTGGACCAGCGTGGTGCTCGCCGGCCTGCTGCTGCTCGGGCCCGTGCCCCGCCTCCTGCGCCAATCGGCGAGCGCCAGCCGGCTGGCGGCTTCCCTGCTGGAGGTAGCAGCGCTGGCGGCCCCCGGCGTGCTGGCACACACAGCCCCAGCTTGGTACCAGCCGCGGCGCAGCTGGGTGGTGGCCACGTGCCGCCTGGCCAGTATCCACCTACTGGTGCTGGTGCTGCCACCCTCGCCGCCGCCTACCGCTGCCTGGGGCGGCGCCATCCGCTTCCTGGCCCAAACCAGAGCGCTGGGGCTGCCGCTCTTCGCTTGGGCCAACCGCCTGCCGCTCCAGGTGGGAAGGCTGCTGGCCGGTGGCCGCACGACAGCACGGCAGCTCCTGGCAGCCCCGCTCGCTCACCGCGGCCGCCCTCCACGCCCCCACCTTGCAGTGACTGGTCTGGGTGCACCTCGCGGGGACGGTGGAGGCGGCCCGCCTGTCCTACACCATCGTGTGCCAGGCGCCGGCCTTTTCCGGCGAGGCGGCGCTGGGCCCGCTGCGCCGAATGGCCCACGCCATTGAGACTCTTGCCCACTGGTCGCCCCTGCCCATCCTGCTGCCGCCTGGTGCGCAGCCTGCAACCAGTGGAGGCTCAGCCGGTGCCCGAGCCCAGGGTGGCATGGCTTGTCAGCCGGCATGCGGTGCTGTGGGCCCTGAGCAAGGGTCCTGCCTGACATGAGCACCGCCCTAATGCTCCGAATGGCTGCAGAGCCAGCGAGCGCGGCGAGCGATGGAGTCTGCCTGTGCCGGCAGGTGGCGCTGTGGGTGTTGATCTGCCTGGGCTACGCCCTGCCCCTGGTGTGCCAATACATGGGCCACACGGCGGCGCTGCAGGCCTTTCTGCGCCGGTGAGTGAGCTGCCGACTACTGCCGGGCATCCACCGCCCTGCCGGGCATCCACCACCGCTGCATGGCTGACCAGCTGGCGCATGCCTGCTGCTGCTGTTTCATCACTCGCTGCCCCTCCTTCATCCATCCTCCTCCGAGCTGCCCCCAACTCCCTGCAGGTGCTGCCAGCATGAGCCTCCCAGCGAGCGCCACGCTGCCCTGCTGGCACCACACCTCACCACCCTGGCCTTCTGTATGGCGTTTCTGCTCCTGGCCTTCTGCGCCGTCAGCTGGCAGCTGCTCTCCGCGGGGCCGATAGCGGCATGAGAGCCTCTGCAGACAGCTGTCTGAGACACGCTGGTTGCAAGCTGCTTGACACTCACCCATTTCATTTGCACCACTGACTGGCCACTTCAGTTACTGAGTGTGATTACATGAGCAATGCAAGCAAAGGACAACACCTAAACTGATCAAGGGCCAGATGAATATATGCACCGAGTGTGCTTATTGAGACAGGGCCAGCAGGAGGTTAAGGTTGGGGCTATATGAAAGGGGGAGGGGCGTATGCCGTGAAGTACTGGGCTCGGGGATCGTGTGTTGGACAGGTAGCAGGGCAGGCACTCAACGATCAGCAGCTATATGTCAACTGTGGCTTCATCTTGGGGACGGGGGCATGGGCCGAGCAGCTTCGGCAGCCGCTTCAGCCGATGGTGATGCGCTTGGTCTCCTCCTGCTTCTGCTCCCGCTTGGGAACATCCAGCACCAGCACCCCGTTCTCATAGCGGGCCTTTACGGCTTCCAGGTTGGCGTTCTCAGGCTGGAAAGAAGGGCAGGGAAGAGCAGCAGCAGCGGCGTGAGCAGCAGCAGCAGGAGCGGCCGGGCAGCAGCCGGGCAAGCAGGGCAGGTCCCCGAGCATTGCAACAGCAGCCTGGCAGGGCACAGTATAATGTGGCTCACCATGCGCAGCGCGCGGCCCACAAACTGGGAGCTGCGCTCGTAGCTGCAGGCACGGCAGCAAGGGGCATCGGAAGCTGTCAGCAAGGCGATTCTGGAGCTGGCGGGGTGATGGGGCAGGGTGTGGGATCCTTGGGCCACAGGGCAAGCAATGCTGCAAGGAGGTTGGGCCTCTGGAGCCAAGCATGCACGCCTGCCAAGGCACCGCCCCCACCCACTCACCGGTGCCACTTGCGCCCCGCCTCCTCCTTCTCATCCTTCTTCTCCTGGGTCTGCTCCACGTTGATGCGCAGCACATCCTTGTCCACTGCAGGGCGGGGCAGCGAGGCAGCCGGAGCAGATCGTGCTTCAGTCGTGCGGAGGGGCACAAGGGCCAGAGGCGCGGGAGGGGCGGGATGAGGAGAGTTGCTGAGGCCGCGAAGCTCCGAGGGTGCCAACGCATTGGAACGGCAGCAGAGGCAGCGGCAGCCCACCTGTGACCTTGATGTCGTTCTTGGTCACCCCGGGGATGTCCGCCTTCACCTCGAAGGCATTCTCCTTCTCCACCTGCGGGGTCCAAGGCAGGGCAGCGCGCCGGCGGGCGGTGAGAGGCAGGGCAGGGCGCCGGCGGGCGGTGAGAGGCAGGGCAGGGCGCCGGCGGGCGGTGAGAGAGCAGCCAGCATCTAGGCAGCACACTCTTGGATGATCAGTGGGAGCCAGCAGCATGCCCAGAGGGTTCCAGGAGCACATGGGGGCTCTGAGCCCTGCCGCCCAAGGAAGGTGCCGGAGGCAGCGACATGCCATGGCGGCGCTACCGCCCAACACTCACCACGTCCACGGGCATGCCCCTCGTGGCCAGCTGCCCGCCCTCCAGGCTGGTGAGCGGCTGGAAGGCGCGCGTTAGCTCACGGGAGAAGTCTGGGAAGCCGAGCGGGCTGAAGAATGGGGCAAAGAAGTCATCGGTTGTGCGAGGGATCAGCGCCATGGATGCAGGTTGTCGGCGTGAGAAGTGTGAAACAGGCGAAATGTGTGGCGAGGGGAGTTTCGGGAAGGGTTTTGAGGGCCTGGGTGCTTTCCAAGCCACGTCAGCCAGGAGGTTTCCAGAGCTCTCTGGACACGCCTGCGATAGCAGCGGGCCGGCAGGATAACACTGCTTGCGTGACAAACTGGGCATCAGCTGCCCAAACAAGCCCCGCCGACACCCGCCTTGGTGCCGCCCGCCGCTGTCCCGCTGTGCCGCCAACTCCCCATCAGGCTGTGCCTGCCATTCGTCAGTAGATTTAGCAATTGCATTCTTCAATAATGAATGAATTCAAGGCAATCGGGAATTGCAGCCTCCGCAGGGCAGTGTGGGCACAGCTGCCGCCAGCCGCCAGCCGCACGTCACATGGCTTGTCCTGGCAGCCCCTAAGAGGAACGAAAACTTGCCGTGCCCATTGCCGTCATCCAATGGGCTCCGCCGTGAACATCAGCTGCGGCTGCAGGATGGCGCCTTGGTTCTGCACTAGCCGCAGCTCCCGCGCCGCACAAACCGCCGCCGTGCGCTCTGTGGCGGAGGCCGCGGCGCCGGCCTGTGCCACTGTGTCGCGCAGCACCGCCTGCAACCCCGCTACCGCCGCCTCCAGAGCCGTCTTCAGGTCGTCGGGGTGCTTGTGCAGCCAGCCCAGCAGCAGCGCAGTAAACAGGTCGCCTACGGCGGGTGGTGGTGGGCATTGGAGCCATGGATGGCAGGCCGGCAAGGCTGGAGAACTGCGCAAGTCTGTGGGCGAGCCTAGCTAGCGGCTTGCTTGCATGTGTTGGGCCTCCCATGCTGCTGGACACGCAAGCTAAAAACGTCCTCTGGGGATTGCACAGCATCTCTCCTCGTTAGCAGAACAGGCAAACCTCGCCAGCCCTGCCCCCCTCCCAACCCACCGGTGCCAGTGAAGTAAGCATGCACTCGAGGCACTCTCATGCGCAGCTGCCGCGCCCCGCCGCCCCGCTGCGCCTGCGCGGTGCTGGCCAGGATTGTCACGTGCTCCTCCCACCCTGGCAGCGCCGAGCTAGTGATGACCTGCACAGGGGAGCGAGAGGAGAGGCGGGCTGGGAGGGGGCGTGGGGCAAGCCGCGAAGCACACAGGCCCGCTGCGCACCACCCAGACGGCTGCTGCTTGCGGGCATCCTCAGCCTCGGCATGCGCCTCATGCGCGGCCCAGCCGCCCCCACCAGGCGGCTCACCACTGTGTGCGGCCCGCGCGCGTGCAGCGCGGAGCACGCCTCCAGCGCATCTCTCTCGCTGCCGATGGCCAGCCCCGTCAGCTGCTCCGCCTCAAACTGCGTGTGGGGAGGGCGGCGCATGGTCTGCCATTCCAGCTGTGCGCGCGCCCCTGGCTGCATGCTGGCGCGCCTGCCTACCTGGTTGGGTGTGATGATGGATGCCAGCGGGGCGATGAGGTCGCGGAAGGCCGCCGGCATCTCGGGCCGCACATACAGCCGCCCATCGTCGCCCATCACGGGGTCGCACACTGCAGGCAGGAATGCGGGCGGTGGTGTGGGAGGAGCGGCTGATGGGTTAGGACATGGAGAGGGATCGCTGGCTGGGCATGCAGGGGCCGCGCATGCCACCACAGCATGGAATGGCAGTGGTGCTGCTGCTGCTACAGCCAGAGTCCTGCCTCAAAGAGCGCACCGTACACGAGGTCTGGATTGTACTGCTGCAGCTTCTCGGCCACCCGCACAACGGTGCGCAGCAGGGACGGCGAGCCAATGTAGCCTGTGGGTGGCGGGCAGCCAGGCAAGGGGGGTGGCAGGCAGTTTGATGGGGGAAGAAGGGAACGGCAACACTCGCTGCACCGCACAGCTGGGGCCAGAGAAGAGAACGTGTGCTGCCGCCGTGCTCTGTCATCACCCAGCCCGCCAGCTGCCGCAGCTGGCCGCAACCCCACCAGTGAGCAGGTGGGTGTAGCGAATGAGCTGGTTGGCCTCCAGCCCCTCCACCAGTCGCCACAGCATGGCACCATCCATGATCTCTCCATTCCAAGATGGATACCCGGTGTGGTTGCTGAACTGCACGCTGTTGACCGGGTCGACGTCAAACCCCAGCAGCTGCAGCGGGAACACCGCGCACTGCAACAGGGGGGCAGCGCGGGGGGTGGAAAAAGGGGCAGGGGACAGCGACTCAGTGTGGGTGTGCGAGGTGCATGTAGGGGGGACTGGGCCTGGAACGGGTGGCCCGGGGGTCCGACCGGATTTCTGGTGATGCATATCACATGTAGGCGGATCGACACCCACCTACCTTGTTGCCGACATACCCCGACACTACATGCGACTGGATGCAGAGCACTCGTGGTGGCAGCGGGGCCGCTGGCGGCGGCGGCGGCAGCGCCTCCGCAGCTGCTGCCATGGCTGTCGGACGCAGCGCGGGATGTGGGGAGCGGCAAGGAAGGACGGACGTTGCGAATGAGCAGAGTTGCAGGCCCGCCCCGCTGGGGAGCATAACAAAGCCACCTAGGGCAGCGAAGTGGACGGCGGGACACGTGTCAGGATGGGAAACAAGCGATGCAGAAGCCGATGCTACCTAAGAATGGGCGCGGGGCGAGATGCAGGTGCAAGCAGTAGCCGCCGCCCCGCCATGTCAGCCGCCAGCAGTGTTATGTCGAACACGGCGGTGTGCTGGTGGAGCCTCCTGTAGCGAGATAGTTACAAGTATTGTTCTGTGGGGACCAGTTCCAGTGTCAGCTGACTGCCTCAAGGCCGATGAACTGCCTAACGAGCGGCATGATGCCGCTGCCGGGAAAGCGTCCCAGTGCGCCCGCCGCCACCGCAATCTCAGAAAACTCCGCCACCCCATCTCCCAACACTGCCGCCGGCCGCCGCCGCTCCTGCCCTTGCCGTGCCGCTATTGGTTGCTGCTGCCGCTGCGTCTGCCGCCCATCTATTGCTGCTGCTACCGCTGCTGCTGCCTGAGCACCTTCGCCGCCTGCTCCCTCCTCAGCTGGGTGAGGGATGGGCCCCAGCGCTATGCTGTCGACCGCTGCATCACCGCCCAGCGCTTGCACCTGCACACACACAGGCAGGTCCTCAGGCAGTCATAGGCGGAAATGCTCAACACACACAGATGTTGTTTAGCATGGAAAGCGCTGCATCAGGCGCAGGCAATGCCGACGCCCAGCTCTTTGGCTTTGGCCTAAGCGGGCGGTGCTCACCACGTGTCGTATGTGGGCGATGGCAAAGGGCACAGGCTCGTGCGAGTGATCGCCAAAGTCGACAGGCGTGGAGTGGTCTCCCGTCACCACGATGCTGCATGGGGGAGCAAAGTGCGTGTGTGCATGCGTGGGTGAGGTATTGCACGAGTCGCACGATCGGAAGGTGCACTTGTGCAAGACCAGGAGCCACGAGTCGCGAGGGGATGGGGGAACGGCACAGAATGGGCCCAGCGGTGGCAGCGACATGATGGGCAGCGCAACGGGCACCATGTGGCGCACACACCTGTACCGCCCATTGCCGCGCCGCTCCTCCTGCCACAGCAGGCGCACTAGCTGGGCCACCATGCGATCAACAACCTCCTGGTAGCGCGGCTGCAGCAAACAGCCCAAGGGGTGCGCATAGGTGAGGGGAGAGTGGGAGGAAGCAGGAGGCAAGAGGGACGGCTCACGTCACATGTGGCTCCCTGACTTCCTTGTGGGGGCCACACCAGGCAGGGCTGCCTGACAGCACAGCAGGGCAGGCTGCTCTGTCGGAGAGCAGAACGGGCAGATTTCTGGGCCCCAGGAGGGGCATCCATCCTGCCCCTACTCACCTTGAGCTGCGTGAGGTGGTCGTGCCCCGTGTCATCCACAGCCTTGACGTGCAGGAACCCAAACTGGTGGTCCCCAGCTGCCAGCGCGCCCGCAACCGCCTCCGCCTTCCTGCAGGGCCAAGCCCGGCGGCAGAGGTGGCAGCGCAGGCTGAGCATGTCACGCTGCCTGTCACGTCGTCTGCTGCAATGTCAACCGGGTCGACGAACCGCGCTGCAGCTGCACCCAGCTGGGTTCCAGCTGCAACACAAAACGAAACTGGTGCATGGCCGCTGACCAGCCTCCCTCACCTGTGGAACAAGGTTCGGTAGTCGCCAGTCGTGCCAGGCGCGTCCAGCACATCTATGCCCAGCGACATGCCCAGCCCAGCGATGATCTTGGTGGGTGCCACCATGCAGCCGCGCATGCCGTGGCGCTCCCGGAACTCCTGCGCCAAGGCAGGGAAGAGTGGGTGTGTGGGTGTGTGCGTGGTTATGGCGGGGGGTACTTCATGAACCCGACAAGGTGCACAGCCTGCCGCAGCACGAAACTGTCCAGCTGTGCGTCCCATCTGTCAGAGCCCAGACGCCTGCCCAACAACAACACCAACCCACCTGCAGCGCCAGCCTGGAGCCGCAGCCGCGCAGCAGCACCACGTTCCCCGGCGCCTTGCCCTGCACCACCCGCTCCGCGTTGGCTGGGTGCGCCTCGAGCACTTGCCGAATGCACTCAGACAGCTCATTCACGACCGCCGCTGTGTGCGCCGCCTCTGGGGTGTCGTCCAGCGGTACGGCACGCTGCCAGGAGGTGGCGGGGGTAGAGGAGGAGGGCGGAGGACAGCCAGGGCGGCAGGGGCAACAGCAGCAGCAGCAGGAATCGGTGTCAGCACCAGGCAGCGTGTGGAGAGGCTGGGGAAAGCCCTTTGCATCTCTAGCCCTTCTGCACTCTCTCTCCGCCCCATGCGCAGCAGCAGGCTAAGTGGGCCTACCAGCTTGCCCCCTCCGTGCCCCCACCTGCAGCGGCAGATTGTCCTTCAGCGGATCTGTGCCGCTGATCTGGTCTGACAGGCCGGGGCCCCGCACCACCACGCCGCACCGGTGCTCTGTGGCATACTTGACGCTCACGGCGTGCTGCAGGGCAGGCGCAGGAGTGGCAGCCGGGTGGAGGCATTGCGCTGATGGTCGCGCACGGCGCCAGGCGAAAGGAGCAGATCCCTGACGCTGTCCTCCACCCCCAGCCCGCCCCACCTGCGGGAAGCTGGGCAGGCGCAGGCCGTCCAACGCGGCGCACAGCAGCGGGCCAAGGTCCTCGAAGCGGCGGTCGGCGCGGCGGCGCAGCACGATGCCGCTGGCGGCGTCAAACGTGGCAAAATTGGACTTGAAGGCGATGTCTCCGGGAGCCATGTCCAGGCCTGCGCATGCGGGCAGCAGGCGGCTGGCTGGCTGTGCTGCACGCGAGCAGTGGGCCGGCCCCAGGCCAGCAGGTGCACCCCGGCGGCCTCGCCCAGGCAGCTGCTCACCCCCCGTCCTCCCCCCAGCACACCCACCCACCTGCGCCCATGCTCTCAAACGCGCCGCGGCCGCGGTAGTATGTGCGTGGGTCGTACCCAAAGATGGACAGGTGGGCGGTGTCGCTGCCGCAGGCAAGCCCGGGCTCCACTGGGTCCATCAGCCCGGTCAGCCCCGCGGCTGTGACAGTTGGGGAGCGGACACGCAGGCACAATGTGTGGGAGTGGCGAGCTGGCAGCACCTCTGCGGATGTGGAAGGAGCTCAGAGGCTGAAGCATACGTAAGTACATCAGCATGCCGGCCTGCAGAGCAGAATCTAAGCGGGCTGGGCTATTCCGAGTGCCGCCCCTGACCTGCGATGGCGTCGAGGTGCGGCACGTCGGCCGCCTGCAGCGGCGTCCTGTTGCCCAGCTGCGGGACGGTGACGTCGCCCACGCCGTCAATCAGCACGAAGGCCACGCGCTCCGGCTCCGGAGGGGCGCTGCGGGCAGGGCAGCTGGGCGGTGGCTAGCGGGCTCGGTGGTGCGGCGCTGGCGGCAGACCCGCCAGCCAGCTCCGCCGCTGTGCAGCATTTTGATGCATCGTACCTCATCACGGGGCGTCGCTGGGGCTTGCAAAAGGGAGTGAGCGCCGAGCCGGGGCAGGCGATCAGACGGCTGGAGCCAAAGGCCCCTGCCACCCCTGATGGTTGCGCCCTAAGCCGCGCAGACGCCTGCGTCTGCAAGTTGTATGCGTCTGCGAATTGTATGCTGGATCACCGATCAAGAAGCGTCTTATCCATGCATGGCTGGCTGGCTGGCATTGCTGACTGGACCGATGAGCAGCGAGACAATGGGAGACTCCCACATGCGTGCGCCGTTCTCATTGCCGCCTCGGAGGTAATCCCCATCGTTCCTGAGGTCCCTACGGTCAGCCGCTGGCCCATATCGCAGTTTCACCCACCCAACATGCTGGCCTCCACTCTGCGTCCCCAGCTGTCCAGCGGCTCCTTCAGCAAGCAGGGCATCTCCCTGCGCCGCGCCAGCCGCCCCCAGCGCGTGGTGGGAGTCTACGCTAAGCAGTCTGCGCCAGAGGAGCCCAGCCTTCGGGAGAAGCTTGCGGTGCCCGCTGCCGCGCTGATGGGCGCCGCCCTGCTGTTCGCCGCCACCCCCGACGCGGCTGAGGCGGCCCGTTCTGGCGGCCGCGTGGGCGGCAGCTCTGGCTTCCGCAGCCGCGCTCCGCCGGCCAGGTGCGGGGACGCTGCTGCCACTCGGCCGTGCTTCCAGCAACCCACTCCTTAGCTCAGCGGCCAGCCTGGCGAGCAGGCCAGTGTGTTGCTAGTGATGAGCACCATGTTAGCTGTGGATGGGCCATTGTTTGCTGTGGCGGCCCCCCCTTCCAGTGGGCGTGGCCGTTCAACCAGCGGCCCTTCAACCAGGCCCCAGGCCGTGCAACCACGCCGTTCAACCAGGTCGTTCTAGAATGCTGCCGTTCAAGAAATTGCTGCTGTTCAAACAAAGCTGCTGCCACCATGTGCAGGGCCCCTACCTCGAACAGGACCGTCATCCAGAACAACACGTATGTGGCTCCCCCCCTGTTTGGCGGCTTCGGCTTCGGCATGCCCTTTGGCGGCTTTGGCTTCTACCCTGTGTGAGCGGGCTGCGTAGGGGCTGCAGTGCTGCACGATGGGTGTCACAGATGGACAGCACCAGAGCAGATGATGGCTCGTAGTCACACCCCTCCCCGCCCCGCCGCTCCCTCGTGCGTCCCGCAGGTTTGGCTTTGGGCTGGGTACCATCTTCAACATCATGCTCATCGGCATCGTCATCAACGTGATTCTAAGGTAGCACCAAAAGAGTTTAAACCTACTTTTTTTTCTTTTTTTTCACTTTTTTTTTTTTGCAGTGGTTTTTTTGTGTGCATCAGTCAGCTATGAGCAGAATGCCGCTGCTGAAGCTATGTTCTGTTTGATTGGAATGCCTCCTGCCTGCCGTGCAGCGTGGTCTCCGGCTTCACCAACCAGAAGAAGAAGCAGGACTTCTCCGACGACGACTGGTGAGCTGCGAGGCGCTTGTTGGCCAAGCAGCGGCGACTTGCATGTGCGGCTGCCGCCCGCAGCTCCGGACCTCGGCCCCCTCCGGACCTCGGCCCCCTCCATCGCACGCTCGCTGCGCGCCACACGGCCACTACTACTGTCGCTGCGGCACTACCCGTCGTCCATTCTGCCGCGGTTCTAGTCCATGTCGTTTGTTCTGACGCTGTGAGTGTGGGGGCCCCTTGGGTCAGAGATGCGAGATTACTTATGACACCCATTCAAATGCATGAGGCCATCCCACACCCCTCGTGTGATTTGATTCCCAGACCTGATATAATTGTTGTGTATTCGTCACAACCCATCTGTAATATTTCGTTTCTTCCGGTCCGGGAAGGAGGCTTGGCTCCATACAGAGCATCAAGAGCTGCCGCCGTGCCGCTGCACATAGTCGAGAATGAGTGCTGCAGCGCGGTCCACATCTTGCTGCGTGGTGTGCCGCCCCGTGCTGAGCCGCAGCGTGCCCACCGCGTGCTCTGTGGGCACAGCCATGGCCTGCAGCACCGCCGACACGCCGTGGCCGCCGCCGCTGTGGCAGGCCGCGCCCGCGGAGGCCGCCAGCTGCTCCGACAGCTCCGCCAGCAGCCGGGCGGCGGCGATGCCGCGGATGCCGATGCTCAGAGTGTTGGGCAGCCGCAGCGCATCGTCGGCGGGGCCGTGGATGAGGGCAGTGCTGGGAGGCAGCCCGGCCAGCAGCTGCTGTTGCAGGGAGTCGCGCATTGCGGCCATGTGGGCTGCGGTGGCTGGCAGCTCTCGGCTCACAAGCTCTGCCGCCTTGCCCAGCCCCGCCACCAGCACCACGTTCTCTGTGCCCGCACGCCGCCCGCCCTCCTGCCCGCCGCCGCACAGCAGACGCTCCAGGCGCACGCCTCGCCGCACGTACAGCGCAGCCACGCCCTTGGGCCCGCCAAACTTGTGGGCCACCTGCGCGTGGCACGGGGCAAGGCAGGTGCAAGTCAGGCGGGCCAGCAGGCTGGTGCAGGCAGGGGCAGGGGCACACACAACCGATGTCCTGCACATCAGCAGGCGGCAGGCTGTCTGGCGGGTTGAAGGAGCAGGCACAGCCGCCGCTCACCACCGTCAGCATGTCCACCCCCAGCTGCTGCACATCCACATCCACCTTGCCCAGGCTCTGCGCCGCGTCGCAGTGCATCAGCGCGCCGGCGCGGCGGGCCAGCGCCGCCAGCTGTGCCACCGGCTGGATGGAGCCAACCTCATTGTTGGAGTGCATGAAGGTCAGCAGGCAGGTGTGGGGCGTCATGGCAGCCTCCACATCTGCCACCCTGACCAGCCCCTCGCAGCTGACTGGCACAAGCGTGTATTCCAGCAGGCCCTGTGCGGCCAGCATCGCCAGGCACTCGATCACGGCCGGGTGCTCTATGCGCGAGCTGACCACGTGCGGTAGGAAGGCGGCAGCGCCAGAGGTGTCGGGGGCGGCTCGCTGTTGCCGCCGCGCCTCCATCACCGCCCCCCAGATGGCCCTGCAGGCCCGGGGCGGGGAGCCGCAGACCGTGTGCAGGCAGGCCACGGCAGCTGCATGCAGCCTGGAAGGCGCACGAGGGCTTGAGCGGCATCCGGCCGCTGCTGCGCACCACGGCCAACACAGCCAGTGCGGCCCACCAGTTGTCCGACTCGCTGCCGCAGCTCGTGAAGAAGATTTCGTCGGGGTCGGCGCCCACCATGGCCGCCACCCTGGCCCGAGCCGCATCCACCGCCGCCTTGCAGGGCCGGCCAAAGGCGTGGGCGCTGGAGGGGTTGCCAAAGGCGGTCAGGAAGGGGCGCATCTCATCTGCCGCCTCAGGGAAGATGGGCGTGGTGGCGTTGTAATCGAGGTACACGCAGCCGGAGGCCTGGATGTGGGGCAGCGGCTCGCCCAGGCGCGGCATAGCCGAGCTGGCAGCGCCAGCGGCGGCGCCAGCTGCGGCGGAGACTCCAGCAGCTCCATCCGGTGTTGGCATTGATCCCCCTCCGCTGCTGCGTTGCTGTGGGTATGCGCCCTTGGCGCTCGTGAGCGGATTAGATAGGGAGTGCAAGGGTGTCAAGGTGCAGGGTGAGGGCTTTGCGGGAAGCCACCGAGACTATCTCCAGTACTGATCATCCCATAGCATCAATGCAATCGCTCAGAGCGTCTTGGCTGGCACCAGCTCCTCAAAGCACGGCATTTCACGGCTGCATTAAAACGACCGCCTTTCAGCAATCTGAGCGATCATGATCGCTTCGGTGATACATCTGGACGCTGGGGCGCTGCCTGGCCCCCGCCTCGCAGGTGATCTGGCCGCCCTGCTCGTCCATGCCCTGGTGTTGCCCCAATTGTGGTCGTGTGCAGGTCCTGGATGTCTATGCTTCCCGCCGGGGGTGTTGGGATGCACCTGCCTGCCCGCGGCGCACCTCCGCCACCGACCGCCTCGCCGCCTTGCAACTCCCGTGCAGAGCTCTGCTCCGGCGCGGCACTGCTGGCCTGCAGGCTGCAGCAACAGGGAGTTCAGGCCACTCTTCTGCTGCAATGCAGTGCGGCCGCCGATGCCGCGGCCTGCTTTGCGGCGGCGCAGTCGGCGGCGCCCGGGCCGGCCGCCGCCACTCCGCTGGTGGTGGCGCAGCCTGGGCAGGTCCCGGTGTCTCTCAGGCAGGTGGCTCGCAACGCATGCCCACATGAGTGATTGCCCAGGACTGTTCAGCCGCCCACAACCTCTGTTTCGCTGATGTCGCCATGTGCACCAGGGAGCGCCCGGCATGCCTCCTGGCGAACATGCACTCATCTCCTCCTTCCTCCCGCCTGCCCTGTGTGTGCAGGCTGGCGCTGGAGCGTACAGCAGCAGCCCCATCTGATATCGTGTTTGTCAGCGTGTCAGACAGCAGCGCCGCGGCCAGCCAGGCAGCGGCATTGGGGTGCGCCGCTGTGGAGCACCTGCCTGCACGCGCCGCCACTCCTGCGCAGGTGCAGGCCTGGGGGCTGCAGGCTGTGGCCTGCCACGCAGCCCGCCGGCACGCGCCGCCGCCGCTGATGGTTGGGTATGTGATGAAGGAGTCTCGCCAGCTGGCGCTCAGCGCGCAGGGCATGCTGCCGCTGCTGGCACCCCCGCCTGCGGCGGCGCCGGCTGGAGCACCTGGAGGACCCTCATCACCATCATCAGCAGCAGCAGCAGCACCAGCAGCAGGGGCCAGGGCAATGTGCTTCATGCCGCTGGACCTGGGCAGCATCCTGTCGCACCAGCTGCGCCGCTGCCACATCGTGCTGCAGAAGCTCACAGACTGCCTGCAGCCCGGCGGCGGCGGCGGCGGCGGCGGCGGCGGCAGCAGCGCCGTGGCGCCGTTCACGCCTGAAGCCGCCGCTCTGCTGGCGGCCCTGGACCAGCAGCAGCAGCCGCCGCAGCAGCAGCAGCATGGGGCGTCGCCTGCCGCAGCAGCAGGCGAGGGCAACGCGGGCGCTGGAGCAGTGGCGGCGGCGGTGCCGGTGTGCCTGGTGGACCCTGCCACCACCCTGCAGCCCATCATGGACCGAGCCGAGCTGGTGCGGCACCTGCAGGCCACTGCGCTGGCTGTGCGCCAGCAGGCCATCCCGATGCGCGCCCCCGCCTCGCTGCTGCTGCGCGCGTACGACCCCGCCGCCACGCCGCGCCAGCTGGCAGCCGCCGGCGTCGCGCTGCCCTGCATCCTCAAGCCGCAGGCCGCGTGCGGCGTGGCCGAGGCTCACCAAATGGCCTTCATCCTGCACGGGTGTGGTTTGACGCTACAGCATCACATCAATGCCGTCCCTGTGCCCTGCCTTGCACCTGCATACGTGCCTGCTAAAAACCAAACCGCCCCCAACGCATGGTAGGCATCTCACGTCTCTCCCCACCCGGCCCGCCTGTGCCCCGCAGCTCTGGGTTTGCTGAGCTGGAGGTGCCGCTGCCGGCGCTGGCACAGGAGTATGTGGACCATGGCGGTACCGTATGGAAAGTGTACGTGGCGGGGCGGCAGGTGCGCTTCAGTAGATGGCAGCATGCTGGATCTGTCGTGTCAAAAGCTTGTCCTCCTGTCACGCCTGCCTGCCTCCAATGAGGGGCCTACATGCTTGGCCCGTCTGCTGCAGCGCCTGCTGGCTGATGCCTGGGGGCAGCAGGTGTGAGTGCAGAGGGGCAAGTGCCCCAGCCTCCCCCGGCCTGTCCCTTGCATGATGTGTGCTGCTGGAAGGGTCACGTCACCCCACCGCTGGCTGCTGCAGGTGTTCTGGACGCAGCGCAAGTCGACGCCCGACCTGGCGCCGCTGGCCGCCCAGCTGGCTGCTGATGCCGATGCCGACATCCCGGCCAGCATCGGCTTTGACAGCCTCAAGTCGCTGCCCACCACGCTGCCCTGGCTGCGGCACACGCAGAAGCCGCAGGCGCCTGCACAGCACGAGCAGCAGCAGGCACAGCAGGCGCAGGCCGAGGCGGATGGTGTGGCAGCCGGCAGCGGCGGAGGCAGCGTGGCCGGCCGGGAGCTCATGCGGCAGCCGACGTTTGAGGCGGTGGCCGCGGCGCTGCGGCAGCGGCTGGGCCTCACCCTGTTTGGGTTTGACCTGGTGTTTGACCGAGCAGCAGGTGGGTGGGTGGCGCACGGGCTCCACCTCATGCCGCTCCCATGTGCCCCTATGGGCCAGCAAGCAGACACTGCCTGCCAGCATCGCCACCATTCCCTCCACTCCTGCCCCGCAGGCGAGCTGGTGATTGTGGATGTCAACTACTTCCCCTCCTTCAAGGGCATCCCAGAGGCACCCGCAGCGCTCCAAGGGGCGCTGTGGGAGCGTTATGCGGCGCACCTGGCAGCGGCGGCGGCGGCCAAGCAGTAGGCGGGGAGGGCCGCGTGCCGGTCTCTTTCCGCTACCGTCTGGTACACTCAGCCAGCTGCAGCATACGGCGGTGCAGATGGCTGTGGCGTGCTGCGCTGCACGAGCCCTGGACTCCTGCCACCCACTCCCAGTTCCCGCCAGCCTTCCGCGCTGCGGCACGCACCCTGCTGCTGGTGACCCACCGTGGGGCTGCCGCTGCTGCTGCCAAGCAAACAGGCGAGGCTGGGCCAAGCACTAGCGCCCCGCCGGCCCTCCCTGCTGGCAGCCAGAGGGCCAAGCAGTGCGGCCGCGGAGCAGCACGGGGCCCCTCCACTGTCTCTTTTGGAAGCCATGTGGGCGCGATGCTGCTGGCCAGCCTGCCTCCGGATGTGCTGCCGCACGCTGGCAGCTGCGGCGTACCCGCTGTCGGCATGGCGGCCCTCTCTGCCTGAGGGTGGCGAGGCCTCGGAGGCCCTGGCAAGGCTGCGCATTGAGGCGATTGTGATGGGTTTTGATTTTGAGGACGTATACTGAGGCTGCTAGGTAAGTATAGTCAGGCTGCAGCCTGCTGCTTGCCTGCCACGCCGCATGACCGCTACCACTGCCCCGCTCCGCTATGTACATCCATGCATCCATCCACACTCTTCTCAGCTCGCCGTCTGCACTGCTCTCGCTCGGATCTGGTGCTTCAAGCCGGCAGCCTGTTTGCCTTTTGATTGTTGCTTGTTGTGGTAGAGATTGCATATGCCCCAATGTGAAATAGAGATTGGAGTGTAGCAGGAGTGGAAGAAGCAAATCAGCAGTTGAGTTGTGCAGGAAGGAGCCGCATAGGGTCAAGTGGAGGAACAATGCTGGCAGCGTGGCTGCTCAATGAGACAGGGTGAACAGGGGATAAGGCAAAGAATCAGAACCGGGGTGGCAAATGGGCCCACGTGCACGCCTGCCGACAAGCCACCAGCCGCCCGAGCGGCTGTGTGGCTGGACGGGCAGAGCCTAGCGCGCTAGCTACTCGTCCTCCTCCACCTCCGCCGCCGCCGCCACGCCCGCCAAGGGCCCCAGGCAGCGGTCGGGCACGTGGCGGCGCAGGTCGTACCGCTCGTGCAGCGCGCGGCCCAGCGGCACCGCGCGCCCGCACGTCTCGGTGCTCTGCCTGTGCCACTTGAGGAAGTGTGCCAGCGTCTTGACCGAGCCGGCGCCCCCCCGCCGCTGCGCCTTCACCTCAAAGTCCGCCAGCGATTTGGATATGTAGTGGTGCAGCACGGCGCCCTTGTAGCTGATCTGCGGAGCGGGCGGGGCGGGCGGGGCAGAGGGCGGCGGCGTGAAGGCAGGGGCGCCAGGCAGCCGTGCAGGGGTGCAGCAGCGCGCGGTGCGGGACCGGCAGCGGCAGCGCCTGTGGCAGAGGGTGTGGCGGCCAGCGCGTGCAGCCGACCACGTGCCGAGGTGGTGGGTGCCGGGAGCAGGAGGCATGCTGCCCGCCCTCGCTGCTCCGGCGCCTGACGCTCCCTCACCTTCCCCTTGCGGATGATCGGCCCCGAGACGCGCGCCCCCAACGTGTTGACCGCGCCTTGCCCGTCCCGGTAGATGAAGCTGTGTGCAGTGTGCGGCTTGATGGTGTATGCTGGCTGCAAGCGAGGCATGCAATTGGATGCAAAGTTGTGGAGAAACACATGGCAGCGCAGCACGCCGATAGAGCGTGCCGCACAAAAGGGCCGCAGCGGGCGGAGCACCAGGCCACAGCCGCCGCCGCCGCAGCAGCAGCAGGGCAGCAGGGCGTGCCCCACCTGCACAAAGCTCTTGACGTGGCGGTGGATGCCGTTGTTCTGGGGCCAGCACGAGGTGTAGGAGGCCAGCACGCCGCCGCCCGGCCGCTCGATGTGCCCATCAAAGGCAAACAGCTGCCAGTAGAGCACCAGCCCGCCGTGCTGCTCATACTGCCGCAGCAGCGCCGGCAGCGCGCCGGCCGGGCCGCTGCCGCCGTCCTCGCCGCCCCCGTCCCCGCCGTTGCTGGTTCCATCCCCGTCATCGGCGTCGCCGTCGCCGCTGCTGCTATCCTCCCAGCTGCTGCCGTCGTCTCCGGCATCCGCGGCGGGTCCGGTGGGCACCACAAACTCGTCTGCGTCGATGAAGCCCATCCAGCGGTGCCGCTCCCCGTACCGCTCCAGGCACAGCGTGAAGATGGGCACCTGCCAGTTGTACGACCGCCCCTCCGTGGGCGTCTTCAGGCGGAAGTCGCCGCTGGCGTTGGTGACGTACTGGTAGGACACCAGCCCGCCCGCTATCAAGTCGTCCAGGACTGGCTCCATCGGCGGCTCCGACTGGGCGGATGCAAGGGGGTGGGGGAGGGGGACAAACAGCCAGGGCAAGCAGGGGCAGCGCGGTGAGCGGCCCGCCGGGTCCGCCGCCTGCCGGGCCGCGCGAGTGCGGGGCTCGCAGCACACCTGCCCAGCACTGCAAGCACCCCGGGCTGCCGCAGGCGAGAGGTGCGGCGCGGCCCAGCGGCGCACACCTGGGGTGTCA